ATCTGGATTGAGTGTCTGACCATTCAGCATGCTCCTGTGTGTGTGTGTGTGTGTGTGTGTGTGTGTGTGTGTGTGTGTGTGGTATTGAAGAAAGCCTGGCTTGTACCCACCCCCAAAAAAAGTTTGCTGACAAACTGGCGAAAGGTGAGACAGAATCACCCCCCTATTTTCCCTGGTGTTTGGCTCCACCCCCCCTCTGCTCGTCCAAGGAGTACATGGGTTTCTAATTAAATAGATTTTTAAATTTGGGATAGTGTTCCCTCTTGGGGGTGTTTGGGAAAAGTTTCACTTAGAAAAATAGGCTAAAAAACATGCATAAGCAATTAAATGGCCACAGACTTTAATTGGAGCGGAAATGGCTGGTAAGTCCCAGTTCCCCCAGGCTGGAAGTGCCTGGAAAGCTTTGGATGCACTGGGATTTCTGGCATTGTGGTGTCAGCAGGCAGTCGGTGAGCCCACTAGCCGTTCAGAGATCCTGCCTCCACTCCCGCTACTCCTGCCTTTAGCTCCCATCTGAAAGGCCGCACCAGGTTGATCTGGGCATCGCGGGTGAATCTGAAGGGCGGAAATGTGGCAGCGCGCCGGCCGGCCGCTGACGTGGCAGGCGGCGCATGGACATGCCAGTGAAGTTAAACTTTGCCGCACTGCTTTGCAGCACGGCGCGAGGGCAGCCAATCAGAAGGAATCGGTGGTTTTGTCGCCTGGCAACAGTGTGTGGATGTCCCGCTGCCTGCGCCGGCCTCCGCCAGCTCTCACCCCTTCCTGCTGCTTTGTGTACTGCGGCCGCGCTTTCTGCTGAACGCGAGCAGAGCACCGCCACCGACTGCTGCGGGGGCCATTTCGAGGTTCTGTCCCTGGGAACAAGGTGGTCATGTGACCCTGGCAGCCATCATTTTGAGGCTTATAACTCACAGTGGCACCCGGTGCTGTAGTAGAGCAGCCTGTTACATGGAAAGAACATTTTCTGAATTAAACCCAACTTATTAATTTGACAGATACTTTGAATAATTTAAACAATGTGACTTTTAAACTATGAATCTGGTAAGTCTTTTTATAATTTTAATTATTACGGGTTTATGAGACACATGCAGTTACCCTGCCCCTAACACCTAGCACTAGGTGGAAGGCAGTAGAGCAGTCAAACCAGTCTGTCTATAGAAACCTGGTACAGCAGCATTTCTCTCTGCTCCTCCCAGGTTACTGTGCTGACTTTGTACCTTTTCTGCCTCTAATATCACGTTTGCATCAATGGGCCACATGGTGAGCATTTCCTATGGCGCTTTTCCACTGCCATCCAGAACTGAGCGGTACCTGAGCCGTGCCGCGAACTGAAGGCTTTTCATTGCTCACTAGCAAGGCCGAAACGTGACCAAACTGTGCCGCTTGCATCACCATCATCTGATTGGTACTTCTCTGCATTTTGACCAATGTTCTGCTTCAATATGCATTCATTATTTGAAAGGCATATTCTACAGTACATATTCATTATCTGTAGTATCACACATCGCAACTGAATGCTAATTCCGCTAGCGTTTAATGCTAACAACACAGCGATTCTCACTGATGTGCTAGAAAATTAGCACATAGGAACTCATGATGTGCATCATGTAGCATTAAATAAGTATCTCTGAGGTTTTCCGTCTTCCATTTATGATTACCAAGCCGACTCCTCTGCAGTGGAAAACCGAAGCGAGCCAGAAACGTGCTGTAGCAAGGCTCTCTTTGTGGGACGGTTCGGTTCCTGTATGCCAGTGGAAAGACTCCACTGGTAAGGCCCTTTATTTCAGGAACGCCAAAGACAATTATGTCTCAACTACTTCTGAAGTGCTGCACCGAGTTCATATACATCTATATATAGGTGTTTCCTGTCTTGCTACGTCTGTATGTGTTTGGTCTTTTAGCTAAAGGGTTTGTTTAGGAAGCTCATAAACTCAGCCAAACTCTTAGGGTGGTAGGGAAGACAAGTGCTACTCTGGCAGAATGGGAGCTTGGACACGGGCCTTATGAACCTCTTCACGTGTGTTTCGCTAAGGTGGCAGTTTCTCGTTATACAGAAATTCCCAAAGAGCACATTTCCCCAAATGTAGGAAGAGACAGGCGATGTCAGATTTCATCACCTTCATGCCTTGCTGAATGTCTCCTCTAGGTTTAGGTATGTATGGAGATGTAGGACATGGGAGACTGAGAGGCTGCTAACTTCGCGGCTGTCGCTGGGCAACACGGAGTTTCAGCTCCCTCCATAGATTTTCTATCGGGTTCAGGTCTGCAGACTGGCTAGGCCACTCCAGGACCTTGAAATGCTTCTTACAGAGGCACTCCTTAGTTGCCCTGGCTGTGTGTTTCGGGTCATTGTTATGCTGGAAGACCCAGCCACGACCCATCTTCAGTGTTCTTACTGAGGGAAGGAGGTTGTTGCCCAAAATCTTGCGATAAATGGCCCCATCCATCCTCTCCTCAATACAGTGCAGTCGTCCTGTCCCCTTTGCAGAAAAGCACCCAAAAGCATGATATTTCCACCCCCATGCTTCATGGTTGGGATGGTGTTCTTGGGATTGTACTCATCCTTCTTCCTCCAAACACAGCGAGTGGAGTTTATACCAAGAAGTTCTATTTTGGTCTCATCTGACCACATGACCTTCTCCCATGCCTCCTCTGGATCATCCAGATGGTCTTTGGCAAACTTGTGATTACTTAAATAATGTCTTATATTATACTGTCAAGGCAAGTAGCATCGCTGTTTTTATGTATATCTAGACATTCTAGTTGTTCATCTAATTCAGGCTGCTGCTCTGGCTGCTGAAGCCAGCACATGTGCAAAAATTATACATCTTCTGAATTTTTTTTTTAGGTTCTGTCTCACAGTTGAGGTGTACAAATGCTGAAAATGACAGATCTCTCCATTTTTATGAGTGGGAAAACCTGGTAAATCGGCAGTGTATCAAATACTTATTTTCCCCACTGTATATGTTGGCCGCTTGCATTGCATGCTCATCAGTCGCGTCCGGCGGGAAGGGAGCCTAACCCTGCTGTGTATGTGGCTTTAGGTCAGTCTGGGCAGCACTCCTCTTACTGCTCGGTCACGCCATGCACCCCTCCCACGTGACTTGAGGTGCATTTTCCCAGAATGAAGTTCTGTCGTCATAGAGAAACTGCCAGTTCTGTTTACTGGGTACTTCCTCCTGGTAAGAGACTGATGCTGTCGAGCATTTATTGGAATTCCCACTTTCTCCTGCCAATATATCTGAGGATGCTTTTACACTAAAGGTCTCACGTATTTTTCACATGGCTGCGAAACATGACCACAAACTCTAGTGCTGAATTATTTATCCCAGGACGGCAAAATGGTGTGGAGATTCGGTGATATGGACCTTCGCTGACTTCCTGGTGTCTGAATGGAGGAACTGGCTTACCTTACAGTCGTTTATATCACGGCCCAAAACATAATGTGGTGGATGGTGCTTCTAAAGGCCGAGCTGGGATCTGGGGCAGAGAGGTCTAGGCGGTAGTTCTGTCACCCAGTTGCGGGTTTTGCTAACCGCTCCTTCCCTTGCTGAGACCCGCTCTTCCTCTGATGGGTCTGGACCATCACGGGCTGCATAGGCTAAAGCCCTTTTTTAATCCTGAGCTGAACTCTTTTCGCTTAATTCTCTCGCTAATCTTTCCCAGTCTCAACTCCCCGTTGGACATATTTGGGAACGTGGTGAGATCATGCCAGCTGAGATGTACAAAAGCAGGCAGGGACGCTAATGCTGTGTGTGTGTGTGTTGGGGGTACTGACCCATCAGCCAGTTGGCTGCCGTCTTGTCTCCTGTGCTGGTGTACAGCCAGTGGAAACTGATTTGATCTCAAGACGTTCCGTCCTCAGTCCCACTGACACGCTCCTTTAATCAGCCGTTCTGCTCAGCTGACCAGCATGGGCCTATAACAACGCAAGTGTGATAGTGACTTGGGTGAGGCAAGGCATTAAAGAAATGGTAATGTGCTGGGTTAAATGTCAGTGACATGACATTTGGGGAACAGAACAGAGAGTTTGTTAGGGACACAATGGAGAGATGAGATAAAAAAAAAAAAAAAAAAAAAAACAAGAGCGAAAGACAAAAAGAATAATCTGTAGAATTGTTCTCGGTAACCCAAATGGAAGGGAGGAGATTTAGCATTCACAGTGGCCAGTGGGCGGGCACAGTGGCCAGTGGGCGGGCACAGTGGTCAGCAGCACTCTTAGACTCTTCTCCATTAGCTCATACGCTTCATTCTAATGGAATTACATTAATAGTAAATTGTTCTCAAACCGCTTTGTTTGCCTGGTCTGTTCTGGAGATATGCAGGTCAGTACATCAAAAGCCAAGGAAAACAAGCTGGATTTTTTAATTGTTCAAATAGGATTTCAGAAACCTGTTATAACTGCAAAGGCCCCTGTAACTCATCAGTGACGATCTCTTTGAGCGTGGAGCCTATCTCCGATCTCAGGTACATTATGTCTGCTTGGTGGAGCAGGATGAAACCAAGTGCGTTGCTAACAGAGGTGACCATATTTGGCGTTGAGTTCACACTTAAAGGCCAGAAGTTTGGAACCTGTTGAGCTACATTTCTGACCCATGCGATGTTACTATGGCAGCATGAGTCTGCTCTTATGAAAGGACTTTGACTCATGAATGTTGAGAACCTGGTTTCGCTGCTCCTTTTGGTGACGGTCAATGTAAGAATTGTGAGCAACGTCGGGGGCAGGTTGGGTGAAATTGTCTGAAGGTGGTTTGGAGACCGTCCAGATGTTAGATTTGATTCTCTTGGCCAGGTAGAAGTTCGGAGCTCTTGCTACTCAAATGCTTTTTGGCCAACACTAGAGCAGTGATATGAAACACTGGAACTTCTGGAAGGTTTACTGATTAATTTGGTTTTTGGGGGACTGGTAATACTGGACAAAGGAATTCAGTGTCCTGCCCATGACATGGGCCTGGGACAGCACAGCAGGACCTTCTGACCACATTCCCCCCCCCATCCAGTGCGGGGATGCCGTCCTGGGAAGATCGTGCAGATGACGGAGGCAGAGGTGCGGGGTCTGTGCATCAAGTCCAGGGAGATCTTCCTGAGTCAGCCCATCCTACTGGAGCTGGAAGCCCCACTGAAGATCTGCGGTGAGTGCCTGCCCCCCCCCCCCCAACGCAAGTGTCCTATTTACAGTGTTCACCCTGTCACACGTTAGTACGTAGTTGCAGTGGGTACCACTGAGATTTCTGATCTTTGCAACTGTTCGTAAGAAAAACAGACATCTTAACACAAGTGAACGCAGATATATTGATATACAGGTCAAGGCAGGTAAACACATTGATATCTTGTTAATCACATAAAGCACATAAATCCTAGCCCCCCCCCGCCAGGCAGCCCCCCCCCTGCCAGGGCCCAGGATACCTTCCCCGGTTGTTCCCCCAAGATGACGTGCCCGTTAATTAATACCGAAGTCTTTGCTGTTGATTTGAGTCGTTCTTGGTTATTTGATTCGCTGGCGTGGCTGCCCGTGTCCCCGTGCCCCCCCCAGGCGACATCCACGGCCAGTACACAGACCTGCTGCGGCTCTTTGAGTACGGCGGCTTCCCGCCGGAGGCCAACTACCTGTTCCTGGGCGACTACGTGGACAGAGGCAAGCAGTCGCTGGAGACCATCTGCCTGCTGCTGGCCTACAAGATCAAGTACCCCGAGAACTTCTTCCTGCTGCGGGGGAACCACGAGTGTGCCTCCATCAACCGCATCTACGGCTTCTACGACGAGTGTGAGAGTCCCGTCGATCCCGCCGCGCCCCCGTGACAGGTGTAGGGTTCTACACTGACTTTTATTCTGAGGAGCACTTGAGCCCTAA